CATCGATGTTCTTAGCCAAGTTTTTATTTTTCGCATTGCACTGAAACTTCTTTCGCAAGTAGCTGAGCTGATTGGTATTGTTAATGCTATTGTAAATAGTTTTTTAAAATTAGGAAATGTTGTTTGGTTTTCTGACAAAACTCTTATAACATCTGTTATATTAATATTCAAATCAGAACTGATATTTTGAACTACAACATTTTTTAGCACTGTCATTTCTGAATTCAGACATTCTTTGGACACATCCATTAAAGACTAAATAAAAATACAAAATAATATATTAATAATTATATTGTCATTTAAGAATAAATATTGTAATATAAATTAGGTATTTACATGATAATGGTTAATGAAATGAAGACCATCATTAAAATTCAGGTTGAAAAAATGATCTATGGATGAAGCCATCTTTAGACTTTCTGGTGAAAATCGTTTTTTAAAATTTGTAATAACTACATCCAAGATGTTATAAAAAAAATTAGTCCTGAAATAATCTTCTGCAGTAGACTGTATTGTATTTTCATAAGATATATATTATATTGGTCACTAGTAGATGTGTTGACAATATAATTATTTAAAGTTTTTGGCCCCATTCTTTTTCTTTTTGATCCTATATAACAATTAGCATTATAATATTGAAACATTAATTTATTTTATTATCTGTACAAATATTTAATATTTACCTAGAGATGGAATTTCAATCAATATATTATGCTCATTCAAAAACAATGATATCTCACTCCAAAGCTCAGAAAAGCCTTCAGTTGTTCTTAAATTTTCAAAAGAAGCAATGATACCTTCGATGAGATTGCTTGCTTTTCCTAGAGTTGCAGTCTTCTCTTGAAATTTAATTGTTAAAATGTTAACTATAAACAAAACTTTTTGTAATATGAATAATTGAACAGCAAACGTTCCTTTTTTAATACTTGAAAGTATTCCTAAGAAAAAATCAAGTTAACAAAATTAGTTAAATAGAAATAATTAACAATTTGAAATTCAAAAATTTACCTATTGCCTCATTCACATCTCTATCACTTTCATCTTCTATTTCTTCTTATAATGCTAGAACTATCGCTTTAAAACTCTTTTTTATAGCTTCACAGTTTCGGTACCTACAATTCCAACGTGAGTCACTTAACTTGGAGATTGCTAATTTTTGTATTCCCAAATTTATCTGTATTTCAATGTACTTTTTATTAATGCTAGGTTTTGAAAAATGCACATACAACGCCTCTAAAGTATTAAAAACACTTCTTGTTACCTACATACAGATAAATAAATAAATAAATATTTAGTAGAGAACCGTTAAATTTAAATTAAAAAGTATACCTTAACAAGTTTACACATGTCCAAAACCACTAGGTTTACTCTGTGGGCCATGCAGTGAGTATAAATAGCATGAGGATACATTTCTTTCACTTTTGCTTGTACCCCATTGAACCGTCCTGACATGACACTTGCACCATCAAATAATTGAGCAACAATTGGTATTTGTGAATTTATTCCACACGTTTTTAAATATTCAATAATGTATTGTGTTAATGTTTCAGCATCTTGTTTATTAGAGCAGTCAATAAATCCCAAAAACCTTTCAATAACATTAAATTCTTTAAAATATCGTACACATAACGACATTTGTTCTTGTTTGAAACATCTATAAAATTACTAACAGAAAGAAGAAATTGTTAATAATGTAAGAAAAAATTGTAAATGACACAAAAAAAGAAAAAAAAAACACAAATTGCTTGAATAAAATTTAAACTATACCTTGCTTCGTCGCACATTATACTAAATGAACCAGTATTCTTAATTTCTTGAACAATAGTATCTTTAACGTGTTTTGAACAAATCTCAATAATTTCATTCTGAATTCTATGGCTAGAATAATTAGTTTTTTCACAGTATTTTGCAGCAAAGTCAGGATTATGTTTAGCCATTACATCACATATTTCTTTAAAATTTCCTAAAATATATTAAGTTTTTAATTGTATGTACAGGTTACACATTACATATAATATATATAAAATATAATACTACTATAGTGTAATAAATTAAAATATTGTAGGTATTAGGCACCTTGATTTAATGAATTAGCAGTTTCATTGTGACCGCGAAAACTAATTCCTTGGCGACTTAGCAATAATGATATGTCTATCAACGTTTTCATATAATTCCTATTCATTGCTACAAGCTTACTGTGCTGTGAAGATATTTGAGTCATGACACTACCAGTAAATTCAGTTTTTTTATGTGAAGTCCATTTAGTCATGCAAGTGAGATGATGTTTTGTTCCAGAATGAGCAAAGAGCTTACTTAGTTTATTTCCCATAGCACCCCTTGAACCACTAAGCTATAGTAGAAGCAATGAAGCAAATATTTACAATAAATTATATATAGGTATATAGAATTTAAAAAAATAGCAGCTTACCTTCTTCCAGTTTATGAAACCAGCCTGAGTAAAACTATCTATGCAATTATCATTAGCACCACTACTATAATTACGGCAAGCAAAGCAATAAACTGCATCTTTAGAAATACTATATTCTAACCATTCATGCTGATTATAATATGAAGCATTAAAGCTTCGATTTTGTGTTCCAAATCTAGTCATAGGATATGACTGAAATAATGAAATATCATAATATTATCAATTTTCATAGGTAACAAATAGCAACACTTACATTCAAAATTGGACGCACGGGTCCACTTAACATGTTTCCTAGATCATTTGTTTCAATATTGTTTACAATGTTTCTTAGATCACTGGTTTCGTTATTAACTTCTTCAAATTCTAAGTCATCCAACTCGTCATTGTCAACGAAGTTTGTTTCAATATTGTTTTCATTTTTTGTTTGTTCTTTCGTAAGATCTT